GGAATACCTGGGCGCTATTCACCACCTTTATGAGGACTGGCTCGTGAAAGGAGGCCTCTTCCCCCCGGTAGCCCCTGTTCTGGTAAGCACCCTGGACAGGACAGCAGACTCTGGTGAAGGACAAGAGGCCCGGGGAGTGTCACCCACTCTGCTGCCCGGGGCCGGGCCGGGCCGGGCCCCTCAGAGCTCGAAAATTTGGAAGGAGGAACGTGGGGCTGGGAGGAGCTCTTTGTCTCACTGTCCCCGTCTCTGGGCCAAACCTCAGCGTGAGCTGGACGGGCCCGAGAGTGACCTGTCCCTTTGTCATTGGCCAGTGACCAGAGTAGCATCCACCAGCAAGCACCCCTGGTGGCTGAGGCTTTAGCTTTAATGATCTGGGACGGTGGTTTTCTGGTCCCTTCTCCAGCAGGAGGCAGGCCCAGAGCCTCACTGCACCTTTTCTTGGTGACCCAGGGCATCGAAGGAACACCCGCTGCCGCTCACACAGTGAGCCCTTAGAAGGTGCTGAGGTGTGTAGGACTGTTTGCCCCAGACCACTAATGTTGAGTTCCTGTGTTTGCTCTCACCATAACCCCCTTTTCCTGCTGAGGCAAGTGGCTTTTGTTTTCACGCGTCTGCCCGTCAGCGTTTCTCTGCCGTTGACATTTGGGGTGTTGCCCTCCACTCTTTTCAAAGTGGGAGGACACACTCTTGAAACTGGAGCTGGGCCAGGCGCACAGCCTCACATCCGGCTTGTTTTCATTGAACTCTAGGCGGTGAGCCTTTCCCGTGTTGGTAGATGCCGCCGTTCAGAGCTGCTTGCAGATTCAGCGCAGCTTTCTGTTATGTGGCTGGACCAGGGTTTCATTTTTCTTGATGCTAAGAGGCACTACGGTGAGCATCTGTGATTATGCCCGCTCAGTACATCTCTAGGTGTGATATTACTGTCCTGCTCCGCCTCCCGGCCTGAGTGCTGTGTCTGTTTTGGGGGACAGGCTGCGAAGCCCTTTCTCTGCTTGGGGAGTCCCGCCTGAATTCCCCCGGCACTTGCTGCACCGGGCTATTATGTGTCCCCAGGCGCTGGTGGTCAGAGGCGGTCAGGGGCCTGGTCAGCACGCCTTGTCCCGGCATGTGGGTGCGCCGGGCCCTGGGGAGGGCCCTCGCAGTGAAAACCTGCCTCTCCCTGTGCAGCCTGGAGCCTTCTCCTGGGTGACTAAAACGCTTTTCACTCTCATTGCAGTGGGAGGATGCCTGAAGTAGACTACGTGGTTCTGACCGAGTGGTTTGACTGGATCACGAGGAACATGGACGTGTCTGTTGACTTGATAGGTGAGCTGGCCTTGGGGCCGGAGTGGGGTTCTTGCCGCGGGGTTGTTTCCCCATATTAACTCAGTCCTCTTCCCAGGGGCGGACAGAATCTGGGAGCTTCTGGTCCCTCCTCAAGAAAAACCTGGCTTTTGTTTTCCCAACTGCTTTCCCCTGGGCTTTTCTAGTATGTAAGGGAGGGTGGAGGGACAGAACCTGGACACAGCCACCCTGCACCAGCCCTGTGTTAGCTCTCTGTGAGTGGCCCGTGCAGACTCATGATGGGCCCCGTGGACTGTGGCATGGGAAAGGACAGGAAGTCGCAGACGGCGGTCCAGATACCTGTCACACTGCTGATCCCGGTCTGTCACCTGCTGTGAGACGCAGTGAGGGGGGATCCCCTTCACGTCTTGCCCAGCGCTTTCCTCTCCTCCCCCCACCCCTACCCCTGGTCTGGCTTTCTCCTCCAAGCCACAGACAGAGTAAACTGAGCCACAAATGTGTATTTTTAACCTTAGTTTATCTCCGGACCACCCCTGAGACCTGTTACCAGAGATTACAGACGAGATGCAGGGAAGAAGAGAAGGTGATTCCGCTGGTAAGAGCCTCCTTTAGCCTAGTGAAAGGGTTAAACCATCACCTGGCCCCAGAGCGAGAAACAGGACCTGAGCACTTCCCAGAGCAAACTCTGACTTCCTCTGTGGCTGGACTCGCGCTGGTGGCCATTCAGACACCCCTAGGGCCTGTCCCCAGGGCTCTGGCCCATACCTCCTCTGGATGCTCGCTAGCCAGTGCCCACTCGCCTCCAGGCGAAACGCCGTCTCGCGGGGAGGTGGCTGGCGCTGGCTCGTGCTCACCCAAAGCCAGTTTGACTCTGGGCCTTAAGAACTCAAGTCAGGATGTGGCAACGGGCTTCGACTGCTCTCCTTGCTCGGGCCTTTCACGACCCACAGCCCCTTCAGAAACCCAGCCTCACACTGCTACCTGGCTGGCTGATGCTTCGTTCACAGAGCGCCATTCATGTCGTCCCCCAGCACGAATCCCTCTGCCTTCTGCAATCTAGGACACAGCTCCTTTGATTGCCCTGTGGATCCTGTGTGGTAGGCTTTGTCAGCCCCTCCTGCCTGCCTTTTACGCCCTGGCCATAAAGAACTAGCTGTAGACACAGACACACACAAACATACACACACACCACAGAGTCACACAAATACGCTTTTGCATGGTGGTTCCTTTTGCTTTCCAACTTCAGCTCAAATGCCACTACCTCCAGGAAGCCTTCTCTGACTTTCCCTTCTTGGCATACCCCTAGCCCCAGGGCTTATTATGATTAAATCTCTTAGGACTCGCATACTGCCACTGTTTATAGGTTTGTTCCTCATTGACTTCACTAAGCCGAACTTTTAAGGATTAGACCTCACTGCCCCTGCCTGCAGCATGCGGCCCAGATCCTGGCATCTAGGAGCTGCTCAGTTAATACTAAACTGAAAGCCCCTTATGAGAGCTGCCACTGAGGTACGCAGCCAGAGGCTGGGCAAGCCTTCCCTGGATGTCACGTGGTTGAGCTCAGGGTGGGCTAGACTGGGTGCTGAAGGTCTCGCCAGCCCCCGAGGCCTACCCAGCCTCATATTCCACTACTGCCAGCAAGGTAGATTCTAGCCACGAAGGCCTGCACTGTGCCTTTCAAGGGGTCCAGGCTGACCCCAGTCAGGGCATTTCTGTGTGGTGACCCACATGTTCCAGAGAAATGCCAGGTCTGGAGTCCTCCCAGGCCGTCACCTGTGCCTTTGACTTCACACAGGCTGGTTTCACCCAGCCTACAGGACATGCCTCTCTTGTCTTCAAGGCTGAACTCAGTGGTGCATGAGAAGGAAGTGAGATCTGTCTGGGAGCTGCTGGGCCAGGGAGGAAAAAGTGCAGCTTGAGGAGGCGTCGGCGGCTGGCTGAGGAGAGTGTGTGCCGCCCCGTCTCGTGTGGTGCAGAGGCACAGATGGCTGAGGGGCACGCCCAGGCCTTTTCCCTGGGTGCCTCCATCAGGCCCTCTGAAGTGGCCTCGTGGCTAGAGGACGTGTAGGTTACAGGTCATCGGGTGGGGCGAAGCAGGACGAATGGGCCCTGGACCAGTGAGGATTGAGGTCCTCCCGGCGGGAGGGGCAGAGGGGAAGTTTCAGAGGCTGCCCAGGGCTGGGGCCTCAGGCCATGGACACCCCTCAACCTCTCTGGTGAAGGAACTGGTGGCCCTGCAGCTGGAGCCTAGGCAGTAAGTGACGGATGCCAGATGCTGGGTGTGTGAAGCCTCTGTGGAGCAGGGTGCCCGGGGGTGGCATGGGGTGGGATGGGAAGGAGGGTGGGCTGACTTCTGGCTGCTGTGATCCCTGGGCTGGCCAGGCTGATCACTGGCCACCTGAGCCACTTTGGCCCGCCGTGGCCTTTGTCCAAGACACTGCCCATGGTCGTCGCC